TGGGTCCTTTGTGGTTGGGAAGTAGCGCTCGAACTCTTTTATAAGCAAAGACAGGTGATCGTGCACCAGCTGGGAGAGTGAAGGCTCAGGCTCAGTCTCACCCAAAATCCCCGCTAATGTTTGAAACATGTCCAAAATGCCTCTGTTGACGCGCCGTCCCCACAAATCCAGTTTGGCTTTAAATGCAGCTACTTTATCTGCCAACTTGAAGACAGTTGTCATTTTCCCCTGAAGTGACAGATTGAGTTCATTGAGCAGGCTGACTATGCCCACAAGTAAGCCAGTTTTGGCGCTCAAGTGACCGAGATGTAACCGAGAGAATGCAATCATTTTTCAAAATAAAAGATCGTTCAGACTCAGATAATAAATAAAACGGAAATAATTAATGATTTCTTGTGCGGCCCGGTACCAATTGATCCACGGACCAGTACCGGTCCGCGGCCCGGGGGTTGGGGACCACTGATCTAAAGTAACTATATGGTTAGACAGCAGATTTCTAAGGTTTTCAGGCTCAAGCACAATGACTTCAGTTTTGTCAGAGTTTAGAAGTAAGAAATTACAGGTCATCCAGGCCTTTATGTCTTTAAGACATGCGTGTAGTTTGACCAGTTGATCGGATAAATATAACTGAGTATCATCTGCATAGCAATGGAAATTTATGCTGTGCTTCCTGATAATATTGCCCATAGGGAGCATGTATAAAGTGAAAAGAATTGGACCTAACACAGCCCCGTGGAATGCCCTGACTAACTTCAGTCTGTGTGGAAGATTCATTATTAACATGAACAAATTGAAATCTTTCTGATGGGTAAGATTTGAACCAACTTAGTGCAGTTCCTTTAATCCCAATTAACATGTTCAAGTCTCTGTAGTAAGATGCTGTGACCAATGGTGTCAAAAGCAGCACTGAGATCTAAGAGGACAAGTATGGAGACAAGTCCTTTGTCTGAGGCCAGGAGGAGATCATTGGTGACTTTCACCAATGCAGTTAGTGACTGTCAACGAACCATGAGATTCTTCTCTGCTAGAGAGAGAAGATATTCCCACTGCAGCTTCTCAAGGCTGTTCGCTACTGTGAGGAGTGGTCAGTGTCCCTATGTCCTTTAACCCTCCTTGTCACACATTACATAGCAATGAGACCACACCCCATACACTTTGCTCCTTGCTTTTCAGTTACTTTTTTAAAAAATATTATAGGAGAGCAGAATGAGGATGTGTAGTTATCCTTTAAGAACCAGTGACTGCCAGTCATTCTGAGAAATGTTTTATTTTATTTTTTAAATTATTTTAGGTTTAATATATATGACTGATGTTAGTTTAAAATGTGCTCACTTTCAGTACAAGGATCTATGATCTACAAGTACTCGATTATAAAGATAATAAAACAATATCAAATAGAGTATAACCAAATACAGTATTACATAGAACTCAACATCATGCAGTCCTGTTAAGGAGGTATAATTGTCAAAGTGAGGAAAGGTTGAAAATCTGTTTTCTAATTCAGTACCAGGTATACATCAATCAAATAGGTTTCCCCCTGAGTCAGCGATTTTTCCCCACCCACCTGTAATTGCACAAATTATATTTAGCAAAATGATGTGACATAGGATTTTTAAAGTAAATGCCAATACTTTGATGGTTTCAGGCTCTGACTTGGGAATTTTCTGTCTTTCTTGGTAAATTGAATCCTGTAGGGTTTGGACTGTTGGCTGGACAAAACTAGATATTTAAGCAAATGATGAATCAATGATTCAACAAAATTAAAATTATGTTAATTGATATTGCAGTTGCAGCCCTAGTTTGACTGCTGCTGTTTGACTTCAGGAGTATAATGTTATAGCCCATAGAAATAATGGCCAAAACTGTAAACAAATGTCACAATTGCTTTCAGTTTTGTTTTATTCCGGTTGCAATAGTGATTTCTGCAGGAAGGCTTCACAAAGTAAAACCTAAAAATCTCTACATGGATGTATAAATGTGTTTTCAGAGTAAGTACATGGGTCTTGAAGCAACAATATGTAACTTTGACATGAAAATAACTCAATCATTTTGATGATAGACTGACTTCTAATAAGCTGAATGGCATCTCTGCTATTGCCACTGCGTGCCTGGATCATCTGTTGATGCACTATATAACTTTGGATCACTGTCTATCTCTGAGACCTCACGCGATAGTTGCATTTTGCTTTACGGCACCAGACCCTTCCACTAGCTCAGTATTGTTACATGCAGAGACAAATCCCTGGGCCTTTATTGAGCTCTCATATTCTTTTTAGGTGAGAATATAACTACTTAGATTGTGAATATGTGGTAAATCTATCACAGTAATGCTAGTTTGGAAATTTAATAAACATTTTCTACTAGACCAAGCTAGGTGTCAAAGCTGTCAGCAAGGATACTGGTGTTCCAGTTGCACATTGAGAGCATCTTCCTGTCCTTGGGAGTTTGGACTTGCTTGCTTTCTACAATCACCTTCTTTGATTGTAATGCTAAATGTTAGCACAAAATACTCGTTACTATTTTAAAACTGTTTTATAGCAACTTCCAATAGCTTCATTATTTGTATCATGACCACCTCACCACTGTTGTTTCTGATACTGTTTTTGTACTGGATCTCCAGCCGATATTTTAGTAGAGCCTTCACCATCTGGTCCAACCAGAAGAATTTCACACAGACATTCATAACCAACCTGATTTCACACACGGAGACTGATCATGCTGCTGGAGCCTGGCTGCTTCTTTCCAGGGCTGTCACTTCGTCCCCCAAGTTGTGCAACAGGATGTGGACTAGAGCACACATGTAGCAGTACATACTGTAGTTCAGCATACAGTCAGAAGACATCTGGCCCATAGATGTACAGTATGTTTATGTGGCTGTGATCTGTCCAGCCAAAGCATGTAAAGAACGTGCTCCACACAACACACACCCCCAGAACTAGAGCATCACTAGGGCCCAGTGACAGCCAAGAAGAAGAGGAAAAAGAAGTGAGATTTGTAGTTTTTTTTTTTCCAGGTGTAAAAAGTTGTATACCTCAGTCCTCCAAATAAATAAATTCATCTCTCGCCAGAGTCTGCTTAGTCTTTGTCACTGTCACGCCAAATAAGCCTTTGCAGCCTAGCAAACCCGTCTCAGTTAACTTGCAATAAATTACACTGCCCAATGTGCAATATTACCCTATATGATGTCAACTAGTTTCATTGAATTACACACATCCACATTCAAATGCTGAACAAGCTTTGAAAATTCAAGCAGTATTTCAATAAAGCAAAAAGCTGTTATTTCTTATTCTTATGACTGTTCATTTTCAGTGTCACAGTAAATAAATAAAATCCTGTGACATTGCTGTCCTTTCGTTGTCTTTCCCAGTTCACTAACAACTTTGTCTTATACGCATGTATCTCTGTCCATGAGGAGGGGTGAAAGCGCAACCAGCATTTGATGGTTGGGTACAAATCAATTGCACTCAGCAATTGTAGGGGGAGACACTCTGCCAAGTTACATATTGTTGCTTTAAAATGTGATCAAGCATTGGAGTGCCACCTCTTGGTAGAGAGTGAGTAGTGGAATGTGATACTCATGCATGGTTCACTGTAGTGCATGTTTAAAGTGATGGTTGTATCTATGTGTTTCAGGAAGTCTCAGTTCCCAGCAGACTCAGAAAACCTACCGCACTTTGACATTTAGGAGTGTGGAGTTGAGCAGCACTAATGGCTCCAGTTGTGAAAGTGAGACCAACCTCAGTGTGTCATTCAAATTACTTTTATTACATGCACTTGGTACTGGGTAGATTTTTTTAAACGGCAAGCATTCGTTTTCTTATGTATAGATAATTTGTATGCTCAAAGTTCAGACTGACTCAATAAGATGTGATTTATTGTATGCTTTCAATGCAGTAAAAGAGAACCTGACTCTTCTCTTGCGGCGTCTAAAAGACTCAAAGACAAACGTTAGGAGATCGGCACTCCAGGTACCAGACAGCTGTTTCAAATCCAATCATGATAATGAGTACCATAACAGATCAGTCACCAGTACATGCCTTTCACCCTTGAGTGGCTTTCTGGGAAGTATGTTTGTGGCAAATAACAATGCTCTTTGGTCTGCTGTCCCTCCAAAGGCCCTGGTGGGTCTCCTCAAACACAATGTGATCCCCATTAGCTGCGACAACTTGGCTGTCCTGTCAGAGTGCTGCAGAGATCCTGCTGTGTCTGTGAGGAAGAAGGCCCTGCAGTGTGTTGGAGAGCTGCTCTTTGTGAGTCTGATGGTGCTGTCAGTTTAGTGTCAGTAACAGCATGAAATAGAGAAATAAAGAATTCTGCATAAAGTAACAATCTGTGTGCTGATTACTTGTCCAAACCAAAGTTTTACACATTTTGCAATAAACTGTTTAACCTTATATAGTTTTTCCTCTGACCATCAGGCTAAACCAGAGTGTAATGTGGTGCAGAAGACATGGCTGCAGGGTGTGGTTCCAGCTGTGGTGGACTCTGAGAGCACAGTGCAGGACAAGGCCCTGGAGGCTCTGGGCCAGGTGCTGCTCAACCAGGTCAAGCCGTACTCTGCCACCTTCCACATCGATGCCAGTCAGAGACTGGCATGGGACCTGTTGGGAATGCTCTGTCATGAGTGCCGGAGTGTGAGGTTGGACTAACTACTTTCAGTCAAGTTTGTGTTTCAAACCAAATAAGAGCATGTTGTGCAGAAGAATTTTTGTGTAGTGCTTTACTTTGATATTAGATTTTTAATAATCAATACATGGCAAATGCTAAATGTTAGCACAAAATACTCGTTACTATTTTAAAACTGTTTTATAGCAACTTCCAATAGCTTCGTTATTTTTATCATGACTACCTCACCACTGTTGTTTCTGATACTGTTTTTGTACTGGGTCTCCAGCCGATATTTTAGTAGAGCCTTCACCATCTGGTCCAACCAGAAGAATTTCACACAGACATTCATAACCAACCTGATTTCACACACGGAGACTGATCATGCTGCTGGAGCCTGGCTGCTTCTTTCCAGGGCTGTCACTTCGTCCCCCAAGCTGCCCCTCAGCAAGATTCTGGATGCCTGGGACACCATGGTCAAGTGAGAGGGACACTGTTCATTTACAGCATTTACTTTTACTTCATGTTTTATTTTCAGGTGAGAATCCATTGTTTCCTAGATGTATTATTTACTTATTTTTGCTCTTAGTTCAAAGGACATAAGTGTGACAACCTGCTGTCACATCCTGTGTGTGATGGGGGATATCGCCACACATTTGAACAAGGATACCAAAGACAGGATAGTTGGTAAGTGATTGTGCAATGAGATGATGGGAAAATTCACAGAAGCGGTCTAGAACTGTTATCATTTCTCAGCCTTCCCTCTCCAGATGATCTGATATCTAGGTTGAAGACTTTTACTTTGTCACTGGAGGTGATCAGTGCTGCTGTGGACACTCTTTATCAACTTGGCCACAGTGAAGACATCAAACAAACTCAGGTTGGAGGTCTTACCTTGGCACTTGCACAGTATACAGCAGCATTTCATAGTTAGAAATGTTAGGCAGAAAACCCCCACCACCACCAAACTTCAGAGGATAGGTCTGTTTGTAAAATTGTGACAAAATAAATGTTTTTCATGTTTTATGCGCTATTTCATAATTTTTTTTTATCGGTTTCAAGCCCAAAGGCTAATTTAAAGAGATGAGAAATACCAAATGAGTAAAGTCATAAAAATTTTGTTTTTTTTTTTCCATTAAAGGGAGTTTTTCCTCCCCACTGTCACCAAGTGCTTGATTAAGGGGGATTTGTTGGTTTTTCCTCTATAATATTATACAGTAAGGTCTATACCTTACTTTGTAAAGTGCCCTGAGATGACTTTTGTTGTGATTTGGCGCTATACAAATGAAATGAATTGTACAGTCTTAAAGCTACTATATGCAGATTCTGGAATCAAGCTCCTGTTGCTGTGAGGCTGGAGAGCATAGCACTGCAAATCTCACCCCTCCCTCTCCCTCTCTGTTCCATTATGAGGCACCTACCTACATCCTTGTTGTGCTTGCTGTCTCAGATAATGCAGGAATCAAGAGCTTGCTAAATTGTGAGGCACCTGTAAAGATATCTTCCAGCAGGAAATACTAGCTTGAGGCCTCATTACAAGAGGAATAGTAGACCAGAAGCATGTTCATGTATTGATTAACATTGAAAGCTCCCATACCTGACCTTTTTCTTCTCTGACTGGTTAGAAGGGTGAGGCTTGCTTAGAAACTTGAAGGGAACATTTCTGCACTTCTACCAGGCTGTTCAATGAGTCTGGACCAAAGAAGCTTTTGACAGCAGCTCTCCACATAAAGATATGTTGGAGCATATTTCAACAAAAAAAAAAGGAAAAGTTACATATGCTAGCTCTGAGTTGAAAATGCCTTCTTAAAATGTTTGCAGAGTTAGTTTGGTTTAAACTGCTTTCCTGCATGATAGAGAAGGTCAAGTTATAAATGTTTAGTGATAAAAATATTCCTAAAATACACTGTCCATTACTTACATTTGTCCTACAGTACATCATTATTTAATGTGACTCACCCCCATTTCCCTTTAGTTTACATCATATTATATGAGTTTCTTTTCCTTCTTCAGGCTTTTTTGAACCAGCACTGTGGTGAGCTGGTGTCAGCCTGTGAGGCTTATTTAGCCACTACCATCCTGAGTGAAAAGGGAACCCAGAACCTCAATGAAGAGCTGATGGTGAGAAATAATCATTTATTAATAATCACACTTTCTGTACTCTGCCAGTTCAAGTCAGCTTTCGGTTGTTTGTTTTTCTCATTTTTACAAGATATTTTCATGTTAAAACAAGATTAGCAATGTAGGGTGATGTGATGTTATGACCGAGATGCATGACTAGTAACCAGCTCAGTTCATTCATTTAGAACCATGGACAGCACTGTTTGCTGTCCGTAGCAGGTGCATGTGTAGGTGCTGCACTATCCATATTTCTAGCACTATTCTACCAAGACTGTCAAACAAAAGAAGAATACACTACTAACAGCCCCAATGAGTCAATAAGCTATCATCACCAATGCACATTCTGTGTGGGTGCAGAAGTGAAGGCAAGTCTACAGGGCCATCAGATGGGCACCCACTCACTAACTTGTGTTTATTTATTTATTTATTTTTTTGAGTTGGGCTGATGACACAGAGAAGGCTCAACAGTGTGTTCCAGTGTCCTAGAACCCCCCCCCCCGCCTACACCCACAACCTATTCAGGCTAACTGTTACCGGACAGTCACTAGCACTAGCGCAGCTGACTTGGCTACAAATCCCAACTTCCACAGAGCAGACTCTAACTTTCCAGCCACGCTCCTCTGCCTCCATGGCTAATTCTGTGTATTTCACATTGTTCCTCTCATAAGCTATATCTACAGCATTCTCCCAGGGAACTGCAAGCTCAGCAAAATACACAGTCCGGTGTGTTTCTGACCACAACATAAGTGCTGATTACCTCCTCAGGAACTATGAGCTGATTTCCTGTTTGCCAATCTCTCTCTGCCTTTAGCTGGCCTGCCTGTTCAAAATGACTTGCTTCCTGCCTTTGCCTCATGAATAGACAAAATTCCCTCTTGCTGCTTCCTCTTGTCCTGTATTGAGTTGACCTTTAATCACCTACTTTTCATTAGCTGCTGCTAAAATTGAAAAGTGATTGAACAAAATAAGTTTGTTGATTTTTTTAAACCATATTGAAGTTCGGTCTACTGTCCCTCTCGATCCACCTGTACACAGTACAGGCACGTCCTTACCAGTGCTCATTCACATCATCAGTGTTGGTAAATATGCCGTTAAAATGAAAAATTGTGATGCCGCAATATTTTCCAAGTTTGATGGTTTAGTAGGTATCCCCCTTAGAGCCTTAAAAACAAATACCAATAACTTAAAATCAATTTTAAAACAAATTGGGAGCCACTTTTTCCTGTACACACTGAAATATCAAGTTGGAGTTTTAGATACTTTGGATATTTAGATACAGTACTTTGGCGACAGTTTGGAAAAGTTGCATTTTGGGAAGAAAAACACCATTTTAGTCTGGATGGAGAGCTGAAACTGGTAAAGACATGGTGTTTACAAATTTTGCTGGCTTGATATGGGTGTACTCAAAGTGTCACATTACAGTTTGTCAAAACCAGGCATCAAAATATACTCTCTTCCAGATAAAACACCTCCACACTCTGGGTGTAGTGTCACTTCATTGTCCTACCAAGGTTGGCAAAAGGACGGTACTGCTGGTGGAATCTGTCCTCACAACACATTCTAACAAACTGGCAGGTAGGGAAGATGGAGATCTGAAATACCTTTTCTCTGTTGATGAACTCTCTGGTTAGTCTCCCTTAACTTAAGTGTATTTATTTATTTGCCCTTGAAGCATGTGGGGACGCTGCTGAGATTGTTTAGAATCTGTAGTGTTAAAAAAAACTAATTTTAATAACAGTTTAAACTGCAACTTTTGTGATTTGAAAATTCTTTTAAATTTCAGTTTTGATTTGAAAACTATAAATCATTCAGCTATAGTTTGGATCCATTTATGGAGTGCGGGACTGTGGGTTGTGGAACTGTAGCTTTACAAATGTACTTTCAGAAAGTGTTTGGTTATTTTTGCCGGCCGTTTATGAAGTACAGCCTAGCTAAAAGCATGTCAGGCTAATCCATCAGCCTTACAGCAAGTCCTCCTTCATGAAGGTAACAATGTTCAATTTGTGATCAAACTGTTTCAGAGAGGTGTTGATTCAACTGTTTTATCATTTTGAAGGCTGGAGTTTGTGCTGCTGTTGCATTATACAGAGCGGGGTTTCTGGTGTTTGGTCTACCCTGTTTATATCAGTGAGGGCCAACTAAACTATTGTTAAACCTCTCTGTATAACATAAAATTATCATGTGGCATGTAAATGTAGGCCTATATGCTGTATCTGTGATCAGGCTCGATATGTTGAGTAAGAACCACATCGCCCAGTGATTCCAGCACAAACCCGTCAAGGTGCTAGTCTGTTAATTTGTCAGGATAATGTATATTTTATTATTCTGATCTGGTTTCTTCAGAAATTCTAACACTCATTAGAGTATGCAAAGTGATGAGGTCAGAACTACAGAGTTTTATTACAGAAAGATGAAATGAAGGGGGAAAACTCACTAAAATTAAACGGTCTCCTTCCATTGTTGTACTGTCCAGTTTGAATTCTAATCTCACACTTTGGACCCTGCTAACTTGTTATAGAGATAGCAAGGTGATACAGATGTGGACAAAATTGTTGGTACCCTTCTGTTAAACAAAGAGAAACACACAGTGCTCACTGAAATAATGTGAAACTGACAAAAGTAGTAATAAATAAAAATGTACTGAAAATTAACTAATGAAAATCAGTCATTGCTTTTGAATTGTGGTTCAACAGAGGGGTTTCACGGACACAGGATTCATTAATAATTTCCGAGTGACAAGGGAAACGTTATCACCACCTAAATCACCGTTGTCTGCCATTTTTTTTATTACCCCTCACCCCCTCCAGCGCAGAATTGTGATGTCTGTCGCATTTCAATGATATAAAAATCGCATGAAATGCGACCTGGCCGTTCAGACTGAAGTTGCATTGCAAAACAGCGGATACGTATCCGATTTAGGACCACATATGAAAGTGGCTTGGGTCGGATGTGAAAAAATTGGATTCGTGCTGTTCACACTGTCATAAGGAAATCGGATATGGGTCGCATTTGGGCAAAAAGATAGGATTTGAGTCACTTCAGCTTGCAGTGTGAACGTGGCCTTAGTGTCTTTCAGCAAAATTTTGCCGCATTCAAATGAATGGGAAAATTCTACTTCAGCATACTTTCAGCTCTTTCAGCTATCAATGTTCAACTCTTCAAGGACATTCATGCTTCTCTTCAGAAGTTTTCTAAACTTCAGATTTTTAAAATATTTAGCTTTATTTTGAAAATTTTGCCCCATTCAAATGAATGGGAAAATTTTAATTCAGCATAATTTCAGGTATCAAAAGGTTCCGCCCCTTAAAGACATTCATGCTTCTCTTCAGAAGTTTTCTAAACTTCAAATTTTTAAAATATTTAGCTTTATTTTGAAAATTTTGCCCCATTCAAATGAATGGGAAACTTCTACTTCAGCATACTTTCAGCTCTTTCAGCTATCAATGTTCAACTCTTCAAGGACATTCATGCTTCTCTTCAGAAGTTTTCTAAACTTCAGATTTTTAAAATATTTAGTTTATTTTGAAAATCTTGCCCCATTCAAATGAATGGGACATTTCTACTTCAGCATACTTTCAGCTTTTCCAGCTACCAAAATGTTCACCACTTCAAGGACATTCATGCTTCTATTCAGAGGTTTTCTAAACTTCAAATTTTTAAACAATTTAACTTTATTTTGAAAATCTTGCCCCATTCAAATGAATAGTAAAATTCTACGTCAGTATACTTTCAGCTATCAAAATGTTCAACTCTTCAAGGACATTCATGATTCTTTTCAGAAGTTTTCTAAACTTCAAATATTTAGCTTTATTTTGAAAATCTTGCCCCATTCAAATGAACGGGAAAATTCTACTTCAGCAAACTTTCAGCTGTTTCAGCTATCAAAATGTTCAGCTCTTCAAGGACATTCATACTATTATTCAGAAGTTTTCTAAACTTCATACATTTTAAATATTTAGCTTTATTTTGAAAATCTTGCCCCATTCAAATGAATGGGAAAATTCTACTTCAGCATACTTTCAGCTCTTCAAAACCATTCATGTGTCAAAATGTTCAGCATTTTCAGGGCGATCTTTCAGCACTCAGCATCCATACACATTTTCTTCAGAAAATGCAATTCTCTAGTTATCATTTGTGAGACTGGTGTTACTTTGTAGTTGCTGACAGTCAAATGAAAAGGTGTTTCTGATAAAGTTCTTCGACTACAGGAATGAAACCATCATAGAAGCTGTTACTTAATTGCATAAATAACAATTGGATACATGTACATATAATTTATGTTCGGGTATTTGTGTCATTTATTCTAGACATCATCAGAGTTAATTTAACATCTGCTTACTACTTTATTTTTATAAAGGTTGACACTGGTCTTAAGTAATGGTTTTGTCTTCAGGTGGGCTTTTGTGCTTGTTTACTCAAAAGTGTTAATATTTAAAATATAAACGTGAATTTGTTATTTAAAAATAATACATCAATGCAATGAACATTCAGGCAGCAGCTTTTCAGCCAATTCAACCATGAGATTGGGCGAGAGGTGGGATTGACACACACACACACACACACACAGACATATAACATGGGTAATGGTACTCTGAACAGTGATTGTAGGCCTTCTAAAGGATATATTAAGATTTCCAGTGAAGCAGCCAGCAATGCAGTTTAGTTAAAGCTGTTTCAGCAGGTGGCAATCCCACTGTGATTTCTTCAGAATTTGCATTTTCTATTTATCTTTCATGTAATGAATCTGTAGTTCTAAGAGTGTGTTGTCCAGGTCCTGGTTATTCTTTGATTCATATCAGTAATTTAAGCTAATAAACTTAATATTTTGGAACAAGGGCCTGATCCAGTATTTGGATCAAGAAGCTCCTGAAAAATACAGTAGGCCAGATTAATTTCAGTAGTTCCGATATTTAATCAACATTTACTGTAGGAAAATATAAATATTAGATTCAGTATATTTTGTGGTAACATGGTTGACATGTCTGATTTGTTTCATATGTTTGTTGCTGACAGACTGCCAGGAGGAGCTTCCAGCCTCAATACCTCTATCCCAGTTCAGACCAAATTCTCTGCCTTCCAGAGTCAGAGCCCATGGGGTCATCACTTTAGGTAAACTGTCCTTAGAGTTTTTGTCTTTTTCAGTAATGTCTGAATGATTAAATCAGACTGTTCATAATGGTGAATGGATAGCTTTAACTGCCATGCAAATGTTTAATGTATAATTTAATTCCTCTTTGTTGGCATCTGGTTCAGGTAAACTGTGTCTGCAGCATGATAAACTAGTCCAGAAGTACTTGCCAGTTTTTGCTAGGGAGCTGGAGGTGAGCACGGAAGTTGCTGTTCGCAGCAGTGTGGTGGTGGTTATGTGTGATCTGTGTGTTCGATACACCAACATCGTGGATCACTACATCCCCAACATCTCCGCCTGTTTACAAGACAGTGAAGCTGTCATCAGAGAGCAGACTCTTATCATGCTGACCAACCTTATCCAGGTGAAAAATCTTCTACACTGCAGGCTGAAAATGAAGTTAAAATAATTAACAATAGTCATTTTGATTTAATTAAAAAAAATATAACAGGGTAATATAAAAGACTAGCATTTGACATCCAGCGTGATTTTCTACATTCTGGTCTACCCAGCATCACTTCTCTGGGAACCTTGTAGTGCAGTATGCTTCTAAAGAGTTGCTTTTGCTCTTTTTTTTCTAGGAGGAATTTGTAAAATGGAAGGGCTCTCTCTTTTTTCGCTTTGTGGTGTCACTGGTAGACCCAGACCCTGCAATTGCAAGGTAAATCACACCTTGTATAGATGATGATGATGACGTAAATTCCCTCTGACTGTTTAGTTCTGTAAGTTCCCAGTTATTCTTTCATTCATATCAATAATTGAAGCTAATAAAACCTATTTCAGTAAGTCAGATATTGAATGAACACTTAGTGTAGGTAAATATACAGTAAGTATTGGACTGGAATTGGTATCAGCAGATATTTAATATTAAAGGAACTGGATCAGTACTTGAGCCAAAAAAAAAACCTAATCCTGGATTGTGATATCCTTAATGATTAATAATAGTAAGATCATATGCCGTGTCCTCACATTTTTCTATATATTTTCCCTACTTTGAGGCTGTAAAACTTCACTCTGTATTTCTGGATGAAGACCTGTTCCCCTGCATTGTCAAAGTTCCATCTTTACTAACCAGGAAATAGACCATAGTCACCCTCCTTCTGGGTAATGCTGGTTTCATGGTAGCAGCAATTTCTAAATGGAGACTGTTGCCCAGAGGGAAGTTCGACAGCGGAACGGATGAAAACCCCCTCCATTGTCCTCTAAGAGAGGATAAAAAAACCAAACCAGACTCCGGACCAGACTTTTAGGGGCAGCTGTGGCTCAGGAGGTAGAATGGGTCAACCTCTAACCACAAGGTTGGCAGTTTGATTCCCGGCTTCTCCTTGAGCAAGATACTAAACCTCCAGTTGTCACTGGTGTGTGTGGGAACGTGAATGGGCAAATGGTGTGAAAGCGCTTTGAGTGTGCTGCAAAGCATTGTAAAGCACTACAAGTATAAGTACAAGTATAAGACCATTTACCATTTCCCTCTCAGGAATGTCTTCACTTCAGTCTCCCCATGTACAGGAAAGGGAGAAACACAACATACAGTATGTACGTATGTTAGAATATCAAACAAATGCATTGCGTGTAGCATTCACTTGTAGCCTTGCCCACTCAGTGGAGTGATTATCACTTATATATGAAAGATTAAACAGGATTTGATGAACTTTTTTTATATTTTTGAACCATCCTTTCATTATGTTCCCAGCTCGAATGTATACCAAACCTTGAAGCATGAGGAATCTGGTCAAAACATCAAATGAATACATAGGCGGATTACTGCAAAGCCAAAACCTGTTAACGGCAATGATCAGTCACAATTGTTCTACACCAAATCTTACCAGTCCTCCTACTTTGTCCTCATAGTGCAGTGAATTGTCATTAGTTATAATGATTTTATAGACTGGGCTCTACAGTATGAGCATTTCACTCGCATATGCAAGTAAAAATCTGAGTGTGCGAATGTGAAAAATTATTTGGGCGCACAGATACGAAGTTCCTCGATTCTCAGTTTGTAAGGACAGGTAGCATTTTTTCCATGCTCAAAGAGACCAACCAGGGAGTGAGATAAGTAGATCAGAAAATATGGTGTTGGTGTTTGTGTGGCAGGTTTTCCTCTCCGCTTCATGTTGTGTGGTGAGCTCCTGGACATAAGGGGCAGAGAGCAGCTGAAAATGGAGAGAGAGAGTGGGAGCAGGTGAAATGTATTACTTGAGGTGGCAACACTTACGTTCTATTGTACATGCAGTAAAACCTCCACGATTGCGAGTAAAAAGCCAGTCAGGGTGATTTATCAAAACATGCCCTAAACAAGTGTAAATTTACAGCGCAGTGATAATTTCAACTTTGCCAACAGACACTCATCCACCGCCAGCATGTGTTAACTACCGAGCTCCTCAGGCTAAGAGGTAATAGCCAACTGTTAGATGCTGCATTGACGCATCATCATAATGGCTTTTCTGGCACTTTATAGATGGTCCCTATACTCTGGTCTCGTAGCCAGCTGTGCAGAGACCAGTGTTACTTGTCCAGTGAGTGTGTATTTGTGGGTAAAGCTTGGAAGACAACTTTTAATGAAAATTTTGTTGTAGCTTGTTTTCAACCTTATGGTTGAAAAGAGGCACCGTTTGTGTTTCAAGATAATCACATGCAGAATACTCAAGTGACATTGCTCAGCACCAGGATTAATGGACTTATCTTGTAATTACAATTAATTCATAATTTGCATTTATTCATGTTTATGATCACAGAGAAAAAGGGGAGATGCACACAATAGAGAGGATCTGAAACTTCATATTTTCTTGGGGCTCCCAACAATATGCCTATTTATTTTTTTTGGTCTGCTAGTCTACATAAGCACATAGTGATGTTGTTTATACCTAAATCTTTGTATCACTACTGTAATGTTCAAACCAAAGATCATGTTATTGTGCACAGACAGTTTCTCCATATCACTCATAGCATATTACCTGCCAAATGAGTTCATACTGTGTTCTCCCCAGGCACTGCACATTGCACGCAGATGAGAAAACACATACAGTACCTTAGATTAATAAAGTCGGCCACTATAATATTAAACCCAAGCACCTCTGGTTTCCTGTCTTAGTCTGTGTGAATACTGCCTGCTCCACTTGCTGCTGAAGAAGAACACAGAAATATTCAGCCAGCACTTCATTGAGTGCATCTTCCACTTCAACTCCTACAGCAAACACAAGACCTACAACAAGTTCCCTCAAAGCGAGAGGTAGGAAGCTTTGGGGATATAAATTCTCTTAATGTTTGGCTTTATTTCTCTTTTATGTATTTTTTTTTTTTAAAGATGACATACTAAAAGAGTACAATATATAGATGTATGTCCTTAAAGTTCATGCAAAGACAATTTGCAAAGTTAATTCTATTATTTTTGTTAATCCATTGACTAATTTCTTGTTTTGTTTTTTTTTTTTTTGTTTTTTTTTTATTTGCAGGGAAAAGGTTCGGTTCTCCCTGAAAGGTTCTCAGCACTGTGAGAAGCGTTTTCGGATCTACCGCTTCATGTTGGAGTACCTCACAGATGCCCAGCGCTTTGTTCTTACACACAAGATCAATCAGAATGTCTTAGGTGAGCATGTGTGTGAGAACTGGAAAAAAAACCCCAATCATTTATTTGTAAAGCACAGTTCATACAGTTGTAGTAACTCAAACTACTTCACAAATATTAATACACTAATCAAAACTATAGGTACATGGAAAAAAAAATCAATAAATAAATCAAAGTTGAACACCAATCCAAGCTAGAAGACAGTCGTACATACAGTGCTGCCTCTTCAGAGTTGCACGCTGCCCCAACAATTGGCCACCCTTGCATGTGTTACAGTATAATGTATAAACTGGAAAACTAATTGAAGGTGTGCTGTTCCTGTTTCTGCGGTAAGTGTATTAAACTTCCTGTTTACCGTCCATGTGCTGCATGCTGTGCCTGTTACTGGATTATCTCCAGATTACAGTGAGGAACAGAAGTATTTGAACACCCTGCGAATCCAATAGAACATCTTTGGAGGGAGCTTAAACTCCGTGTTGCTCAGCGACAGCCCCGAAACCTGACAAATCTAGAGGAGATCTGTGTGGAGGAGTGGGCCAAAATCCCTGTTGCAGTGTGTGCAAACCTGGTCAAGAACTACAGGAAACGTTTGACCTCTGTAATTGCAAACAAAGGTTTCTGTACCAAATATTAACACTGATTTTCTCAGGTGTTCAAATACTTATGTTCAGCAGTGAAAGACAAATAAATTCTTTAAAAATCATACACTGTGATTTCCTGAATTTTTTTTTTAATTCTGTCTCTCAGAGTGGGAATGCACCTACAATGTGAATTTCAGACCCCTCCATGATTTCTAAGTGGGAGAACTTGCAAAATCGCAGGGTGTTCAAATACTTCCGTTCCTCACTGTACTTTTATCTTTTATACTCATCAACTCATTTTTGAGGTGTAACATATGCCTGCACTATTCAAACCACCTGTACTACAAAATATATTGTTAATTTCAAATTTCACTTTACGCTAGCTTGGTAGCTATCCAAGTTCTGCTCTGGGTGTCACATTTAGTTTTTTCTCTGCCTCCTTTAATAATTGTTTTTGTAAAAAATGTCAGATTGTAGCAGCAGTGAAGGCGAAGCTAACTAAATTGGAAGTGCAATTTTGCAACATGGAAAATAGCCTAGCCAAGAAGGCCCATGTAGCCAGTGTGGATCCTCCTAGACCTTGCTCTACCTTAGCTAGCCAACCTCCAGCAGAATGTCCTGTGCAGCTGGGACACCACCAGGGTGGCTGGGTTCGCAAGAGTCATAGCTCAAAACAAACACCCATGGTTCACCACCAGCCTGTACATGTTTCTAATCGATTTTCGCCACTCAGCAACACATCCACTGAGAAACCAGCTCTGGTAGTTCCATAGTCAGAAACGTGAAGCAAGAGTCAGATGCTGGATGTGGTTTCCTCACCTGCTGCCTCTGATCTGTCAGAAAGCTGGTAATCCACTGACAGGTATGGGCGGGCAGAGTGAGCTGGGTGAGGGTGGAGTGGATTCTAGGATGATGATGTTGAACGCTGAGCTGAAATCCACAAAGAGGGCCTGTGCATAGGTCCCTGGGGAGTCGGGGTGTTGCATAATGCAATGTGACTGCATCATCCACTGACCTGTTTGCCTGGTAGGCGAACTGCAGGAGGTCCACGATGTCCTTCAGATGGGCCAACACTCGTTTCTCAAAAGACTTTATGGCTACAGATGACAGGGTGACAGGTCTGTAGTTATTCAGTCCACTGATGAAGGGTTTCTTGGGAACCGGGATGATGGTGGAGCCTTTGAAGCTGGAAGAGACTTCACACAGCTCCTGTGACCTGTTGAAGATAAGTCTGAGGATGGGGGCCAGCCGATTAGCACAGGATGAAGTCATACTGTCTGGGCCTGGTTTCTTTCTGTTCTTTTGTCTCTGAAAGAGGCCATGCATATCTTTTTGACAGATCATCACGGGGGGTCAGCTTCAAAAACCCTTCAGTCTGTACAGTCAAAGCAGACTATCAGCTCTGACTTTGCCTCTCGTCCATCTCTTCACTTCACTGACCACAGGTTTTGCACCTTTAAGTTTCTGCCTGTAGGTCAGGAGGAGATGGACCATGCAGTGGTCAGAGTCCCAAGGCTGCACAGTGGACAGAGTGATAGGTGTCCTTTATTGCTGTGTAGCAGTGGTCCAGTGTGTTTTTGTCCCTGGTGAGACAACTGGCATGTTGTCTGTATTTGGGCAGTTCATGGGTGAGGTTTGCTCAGTTAAAATCTTCTAAGCAATGAGTCAAGAGCTTGGATGTTTGAGTTCCATGCAAGGTATCTGGTCAGCCAGGTGTTGTAGCGCCTTGCTATTGCAGGCCTGAGGAGGGATGCAAAAAGTTTATTTGAAGTTACTTATAATTTGAAGTACTTTAGATACTGCTGGGTAGCTTGTGAATTTCCCACCAGGGTTAAATAAAGTCTTAGAACTGTATTTTGTTTTTTCCTCTAGTTCAGAAAACTAATTAAGGTTAAATACATGTGGTGCTGTTAAAAGTACAGTATTAGTATCTGAAATGTAATCAAGTAGTGAAGCTATGTTTTGTCTAAAATAATCAACACCATATTTAACAGATCTTTGAGCAAATATTGTACTGTATAACAGATTATTTATTTGGCACAGTATGATATGAAGTAATAATAATAAAACTTTATTTATATAGCACTTTACAACTCCAACGGAGCACAGAATGCTTCACAGCAGAGCATGTGTAACTAATAAAAAACACTACTAAAACAATAAAACCTAAGCAAAATAAAACACAGATTTTCAAAACAGTGGCAGTAAAAAGTTTCCATATCAGGATACAAACGGCATAAAGCAACAAGTTAAAAGACGTCCCTTCGGAGCAAGTAAAGCGGGTTAAGCACCAAAACCCTGTCTAAGAAGGTGGGTTTTTAGAGTTGACTTAAAAGCCGCTAACTCCGTTATGGACCGTAGCTCCAGGGGTAGAGAATTCCAGAGTCTGGGGCCATGTACAGCAAAAGAACGATCGCCCCATTTTTTGTATCGAGACTGTGGGACAACCAAGGACAGATGCTCTGCGCGGAGCATAAATAGACAGAAGATCCGACAGGTATGGAGGAGCAAAGCCATTCATAGACTTAAATACAAATAGTAGCACCTTGAAGTCAACTCTAAACTGTACTGGCAACCAGTGTAGCGAGAGAAGAACAGGGGTGATGTGGGCGTACCTGGGGGTGTTTGACAACAGTCGAGCTGCAGCATTCTGGACCAGTTGAAGCTTCTGGAGAAGAGACTGAGAGATTCCAACATAGAGAGCATTGCAGTAAAGTCACCTAGTGATAAAAGAATGGATAGTTTTTTCTAAGTCTGCGTGCGATAAGAAGGGCTTCACCTTCGTTAGGAGTCCCAGGTGAAAGAAGCTAGTTTTAACCACGGACCTGATCTGCTTATCAAAATTGAGGCTGCTGTCAAATATCACTCCAAGATTTTTCATGGTATCCATAAATGAAGGGGCTGAAGCACCTAAACTTGATATAACAGTGGCTGGATCTGAGCTAAAAACAATGTATTCAGTCTTGCTCTCATTTAAATGAAGGAAATTCTGCAATAGCCACTGCTTAATATCGTAAATACAATTATGCAGCGGGCAAGTGCATTAGAATCGTATTGTATCAGCGGCACATAAATCTGAACATCATCTGCATAAAAATGAAAATGGACATTGTGTCTTGATATAATTGGACCAAGTGGTGACATATATAAAGAAAAGAATAACAGGGCCAGAATCAAGCCTTGGGGAACGCCTGAGGTAAGAGGGGCTATGGTCGAGGAGAGATCATCAATAACTAGAGAAATGCATTTTCTGTCGTAAATGCGTATGGATGCTGATAAGCTGAAAGATTGTCCTGAAAATGCCTGAAATCAATTGCTGAAACAGCTGAAAGATGAGAAAAAATGGATAACCAGCATTTTCGTTGCGTCTCGTTTTCGTCACACGATAAAGGTTTGTTGACGACGATATTTAGTCATAATTTTCGTTGACGAAAGCAACACTACCTGTAGTGCCGTCTAGAGGGGAGGAATTCAAACAGATTGTGTCCAGGGTGTGAGGGGTCTGCAATGATCCTCTCCGCCCTCCTTTTGACCCGTGAGGTGTACAGGTCCTCCATGGAGGGCAGGCTCACACCAATGACCTTTTCTACAGTCCTGATTGTCTGCTGAAGTTTGTACTTGTCCGGTTTGGTTGCAGAGAACGGACTCGATGATTCCTCTGTAGAACTGTATCAGCAGCTCCTGAGGCAGGTTGAACTTCCTGAGCTGAAGCAGGAAGTACATCCTTTGCTGTGCATTCTTGATGGTGGTCCTGATGTTGGACGTCCACTTCAGGTCCTGGGAGATAGTGGAGCCCAGGAATTTGTAGGACTTTACTGCTGATACAGTGCTGCAAAGCCGCTGATTGTCCGGGTACAGGATGTGGTTTTCCCCAGCCTCACCTGCTGATTCCTGTCTGTCAGAAAGCTAGCAATCCACTGACAGGTGGGGGCAGGCACAGTGAGCTGGGTCAGTTTGGAGTGGAGGATGTCCGGGATGGAGAATCAGAGATGAAGTCCACAAAGAAGGCCCGTGCATAGGTCCCTGGGGAGTCGAGATGTTGCAGGATGTAATGCAGTGCCATGTTCACTGCATCATCCACTGACCTGTTTGCCCAGTGGGCAAACTGCAGGGGGTCTACGGTGTCCTTCAGGTGGGCCAACATCAGTCTTTCAGAGGACTTCATAACTACAGCTGTCAGCTCTGTAGTCATTCAGTCCACTGATGGAGGTTTTCTTGGGGACTGGGATGATGGTGGAGCATTTGAAGCAGGAGGGGACTTCACACAGCTCCAGTGACCTGTTGAAGATGGGGACCAGCTGATCAGCGCACACTTTCAAGCAGGAGGGGGTCACGCCATCTGGACCTTGAGGGGGGGGGAGTGTTTGTCAAACCTGCAGTAGAACACATTCAGGTCATCTGACCTGCATGTTGGATTTTCTGCCCCTGGTGGAGAGTTAACAAATGCGCCCTGGCTACTGCCTCCCTCCTCTCAGGGTGCCACCAACATACTGTGTTGAAAAATTGACCCTTTTAAGTGTGAACACTGTGAAACCACGGATCTATCTGATCTAAATGTTTTGTTTTTTTTTCTCTCTAGTGACGGCTTCAGCGATGAAATGTGCTGTGGCTCTTTTTCATTAAAGGGTGTGTTATGAATAGTGAACATCTGAGCATCCTATGACATTTTCATTGTAAATTCTGGACTATTAGTAAGCATCAATCATGTGGGGGTTTTCCACTTGGGGACTGACGTTGAGCCAATTAATGCATGTCACAGGTACTGCTTGTGTTCCCACTATACTCAGCTTTGGAGGCAAGGTCTGGGAGCTAAATTTCAGCACCCCTCAGGAGGTAGTACTAAAATTAAGTACCAGGACCGTGCAGGGTACGGGGAGCCGAGCAATTGCAGGTGAATAAATGTCTGTCTTCATGCCTCAAGCATTCACATTACAAGCATCATATATCAACACACAGCTCACTCTGTGTGTGAGGAGCACTGGCCCCTCCCTCCTCTAAACAGAGACCTACAGAGGGACAATACAGTGGAAAAACAAAGCAGAACGGTCCGCTCCCACCCCACAGGCTATGCTTGGTGATGGTTGAGGGAGATATTGGGTCTGTGGTTCGTCAGGGTGCGTTAGTGGAAACGCAGCTGTGGTCCTAGAGCAGCATTAAACTGAAAAAAAAAATCTATTGTAATTGCTTACCTTTTCCTATACCAGCATGTTTTGCGGATGAGGAGTTACTTCTGGATGCAGATGGTGCTGAACTTTTGTCAGAGACCTTCAGTATCTTGAGTCTTAAGGAGATGAAGCTGCAGGCCGTATGTGCTCCATCAGGAGGCACAGCAGGGGAGGAACCAGAGGAGGAGAACATGGCCACCATGGCTAAGGCTGTCCTGCAGGCTGCACAGAAGAAGGTTGTGTCTGAGGTGAGCAATTACCAAATTACTCAAACTTTTATGAATTTAAAAATTACCTTCTTTTGCTTTGCATCATAAACAATGTTCTTATTTACTGTTTCTCAACTCTCAACCCCTGTCACCTTTAAACAGGTCCAAATCCAGGTCCCACATCTTCTTTTTTGTGAACAAACAGAAAATGATTTTTAAACAAACATCCAGCCCACAGTTTGGAGGAATTTAGTGACCCCTCTGGCAGTGAGCGTAGCTTTAGTGGCTATAGACAACTCTTCCCAGTCTAACTGTACATGTACAATATCTGTGGCTAAAGTTAGCAAATCAGCTAAAAGTAGATAGCAAGTGAGCAAGGCAACATGAAATTGCTTGGAGTCCCTGTGTTAAACTAACATTAGCATATCTCAGTCTGTCCACTGAACAAAGACAGGTTTGTTACTGAACATGAATTTGTAATTCAGTTATATTCAGCTTTATTTGTATAGTGCCAACAAAAATCTTAAGGAACTTTACATAGTAATACCTACACCTTACACTATTAGAGAGAAACCCAAATAATCCCCTTTGAGCAAATAAGTAATTCCTTACCATATTCATTTCTGAAAAACGTAATGACATTACTGTAACGTGTTACTTTCCAGAACTGCAAGTGAGTGGTTGGACGCTGCAGGTAATCATATGGCACATCTCAAATTGTATAACAGTATTTTCCCTTATCACTAAATGACTCGACCCATTAACAGAGCAGTGGGGTAGGAGACAACGATAACTTCTCACTCAGTTCCATCATTTAACTGTACTGTTAATGTGCTGTTGCAGGGGTTTTCAAAGTGTGGGGAGGTGAGCCCCCCCCACCAATTACCTTTATCATCACTGTTGGTTTAGCTTTCTGTATATTCCACTCAGCCATAACAGTGGCTTTCAGTGTTAAATGTAAAAAAAAATTTAAGCCAACACTTTTGCAACACAGTTCTGCTCGAGGACTATTGCTCATTGATTTCTTAAAAACAAAAACCAGTAGTATGTATCTAGTGTTTTCCTGCATTCACGCTTAAACTGTGGGCTATGCTTATGTAAAATTATTTAATAATTAATCCTCCACAGTCCAATCACAATATGAAAACAGACTATTGTAAGACTATTGTTTAGTCTTATTAAAATAGCCTCAATTCAACTAAATCATACCCACTCCCTGCAGAGAGCAGGGGCTGCAGGAGGCAGTGCTGATGCTTAGTAGAGAGGCAGAGGGAAAGACCTGGAAGTTCATTTTTCAAATTCTTTACCCAAATCCACTCACTTCTCAAAGCTACAACCTCAGCTTTAAAAATGATTATGAAATTGTATGGTGCTTTCAAGTCAACTCCTCTGTTTCCTGCTTTGATTCACAGGTCCAGAAGAAGGCTTTCATAGAGAACACAGTTCCTCTCATCATCAGCCTGAAGAGCCTGCTAGAGCGGAATCGCTCTCCTGTCCTAGGAGATCTTATGGCCTACCTCCAGGTAAGACCACAGCACAGACATGTAGAGGATGTCTACATTTTCATGTGATAAATAATAGGGTAATGGGTGTACAGTATGATGACGTGTCATCAACAAAGATCATTGATAGAGGATTCTTAATATCTCCATGTGCTGAAAGCATTAGCAATCTTTATGCTAATGTAAATATTAGCAATTAGAGTTACACTGTTTGTTACAGATTAGCTTTTGGGTTTACCATCAAAAATAGTATAAACAAGGGCTTTCAAAAATTTTCAAAACCTTTATTGATGTTAGGGTATGGTAAACCTTGCCGCAAGGCAGATAAAAAGCTCATGAAGCAGCAATAGCAGCAGCATGCATTCATGCATTTCCTTTAATAATAAAATATGGATTAATGGTTTGCATATCCCCTCAATTACCCATTTAACAGTTGTCATAGTGATACCATCGCTATCACTAGATGCTTTGTTACCACATTTATTCACTATCTCTATAATTTCCTTTTCAACTATGGGCTTCAAAAACATAGAACTCATGTTCCTTTCGATTGTATTATTATTTATAGTGATGGATGTATCATCTGTACAAATGCTTCTTGCTAAACCAGGACCCACATTCACAAAGAACCTATTGAACTTATCTACTACATCCTCCAATCTATTAACCGGTGAATCATTCTCCGTAAAATATTGAGGGCAGTTACTCTTGCTGGAACTGTTTCTAATCAATTTATTTAATATATTCCAAGTACCTCTCATATTATTTTTATTATCCTCTAATACTTTAGAGTAATATAGTTTCTTACATCTCCTCAAAATCTCAATTAATTTGTTCTTATATGACTTATATTTTTCTTCCGCCTTCTTTGATCTGTCCTTTATGAATTTCTTATATAACGCATTCTTCTTTTTACATGCATTCTGTAATCCCTTACTCATCCACGGTTTCCCACTGTAATTCCTTTTGTTTTTATACTGCTTACGAGGACAGTTCCTGTCATATACTTCCTTAAATATATTTAAAAATTGCTCCTTTGCTTTATCTAAGTCTTCCTCTCTGTAAACTGATTCCCAGTTTTGCCCCATAAAATCCTCTTTTAGCCTCCTTACAGCATGTTCATTCATCACCCTCCTATAGAAAAGATTTGTTTTTGGCCTCTCTTTTCTATACTGGCCATCATAAACCACAAATACTGGTAGATAATTCACTAATATCATTTATAAGTAATCCACTTGTCATTTTGCTGTCAATAACATTGGTAAATATATTATCTATTAGTGTCGCATGCTGGGTTGTTAATCTACTTGGTTTTGTAATTTTTGGGTATAAACTGCATCTATATATTGTGTTAATAAACTCCTCAGTTCCTGTGTGCTTGTTAGGATTTAACAAATCTATATTGAAGTCACCACATATGAACATTAATCTTATCTGTGCCAAAGCCGTTGGTGAGCGGGATTTGAAGGTTCTTTATCTATGAAGCCAAATTAATCAGATCAGCTGGTCAAACTTCAAGCATGTCTTAAAGACATAAAGGCCTGGATGACCTGTAACTTCTTACTTCTAAACTCTGACAAAACTGAAATCATTGTGCTTGGGCCTGAAAATGTTAGAAATCTTCTGTCTAATCATATAGTTACTTTAGATGACATAGCTCCTGCCTCCAGTACTACTGTGAGGAACCTTGGAGTCATCTTTGATCAGGATATGTCCTTTAAATCATACATAACCCAAGTCTCTAGAACTGCCTTTTTTCGCCTGCACAATATTGCAAAAATCAGGAGCATCCTGTCTCAAAGTGATGCTGAAAAACTGGTCCATGCATTTGTTACTTCCAGGCTGGACTACTGTAACTCTTTACTATCAGGATGTCCCAATAATTCCCTAAAAAGCCTCCAGTTAATCCAAAATGCTGCAGCCAGAGGACTGACAGGAACGAGCAAGAGAGATCATATCTCTCCCATATTAGCTTCTCTCCACTGGCTCCCTGTAAAAGTCAGAATAGAATTTAAAATCCTTCTCCTAACATACAAAGCCCTTAATGACAAGGCTCCATCATATCTTAAAGACCTCGTAGAGCCTTATCATCCTAACAGAGCACTTCACTCTCAGAGTGCAGGTTTACTTGTGGTTCCTAGAGTCCACAGAAGCAGAATGGGAGGCAGAGCCTTTAGCTATCAAGCTCCTCTCCTATGGAACCAACTCCCAGTCTCAGTTCGGGAGGCGGACACCCTCTCTACCTTTAAGACTAGACTTGAGACGTTCCTTTTTGATAAAGCTTATAGTTAGGGCTGGATCAGGTGACCCTGAGCCCTCCCTTAGTTATGCTGCTA